CCTATAAGGTATGCATTAACTAAAATCCCGAGTAGGCGTAACATAGAGAGGTTTGAAATGCGTAGCATTTTTGGCTAGAAATGCGTATAAAACGCATTTTGAAACGCCCAAATTATTTGCAGGGTGGAGTAGCCCCAGCGCAACCCAACAGTTTTGATATTTCAAAAATCCAAAATTTAAAGTTTAGAAAATGATGAGTTTTTCCCAGCAATAATACAAATTTTTCCAAGGATACACAGTAATTTTTTATAATTGAACCTCTGTGAGTCAAATTTTTAGAGACATGGAGAAAAGTGGATATGAGAGTATTCTGACTCAGGGAGGCTTCAATTTTTGGAAGTTTTGAGTTGAGAAAATAATCATTTTTTAATGCAAGGGTGAGTGAAAAAATTTGCAGGAAATTGTAAATGAGGATATTTTTGGCCTAAACTTACTTCTTGATGAGTTTAAAGCTGTGTTTAATTTACAGATTTGTTTAATTGGTCTTTCATTAACTTTCAAGATGCATAAAATCATTTGTTTCATGGATTTACTCTTTCATATTTCAAGGATAGTCAAAGAGCCTTGGAAAATTTGACTTCCAGAGGTTTGAGAGAAAATACTTAGAGTTATGGAGGGTTTTAATGCATTGTTTCAAAGAAAATTCAAACTGGGACTTTAACAAAATTGAGTTAGAGCAGTGATTGACTTGTCAGGGAGGTTTGACTCACAGAGGTTTGACTGTACCTCACTTATTCCCACAGATGAGTCAGTTCCTGGTGGACCTGATGCTCGCAACAGTAGTGAGACAGTCGCCAAAGGAACCCATCATTTGTCACCACTGCAAGGACGCCTGTTGACTGCTGAGGATAAGGAAGCAGCATTTGTAGTCACTGTTACAGCCAACTACACCACCAGCGAACCTAAAATTGTCTATGCAGGCTGTCTCTTGTCTGAGAGGTGAGTTGTGTTACATTCTGCCAGAAAGTTAGTCTGCAACTCTTGCAAGCTTGTCCATGGAGCAGTTGAGAGAAGTTTTTTACTGGGCATCCAGAAATTTCATTAGGCTTATTGAATTTTTCAAAAGCAGTAACAAAGTCTGTAGTCTTCAGCTGACATTTGGGAAATACAGAGGCAGCTTAAATTATCAGGTGAGAAGTTGGATTTTCTCTTAATAACACTTCAGACAAATTTTCAGCTGCTGTAATAAATCTCATAAAATTTTTATTCCGAGAAACCTGTCTAGAGGCAGAGCTTTTTATCTATTTATCTTCTTCAACATTTCACCAAATACTTTGTGGGTTCTTCAGCTCTCCATCACAGTCATCTTCCAAGTTTTCCGCAAAAACATACAAAGAAAAATGACCAATAAAAAATTCGAACTTTTACAGTTTCCCTGCATAGCAACTGTGTATAGCCTCATCACAAAAATTATGATTTCAATTGTCAGTTGTCTACCTTTTGAAGATCCTGCTCTACTTTCACTCTATCTACCAACCAGTCACAATGTGGCACAGAATATGAGAATTCTGAACAGAAGCTTATAGAGATCCTTTGGATTCTGTTAGGAATCTATAGGAGAGAAAAGATGCCACACAAGAAAGGAGAGAGAAACGAAACCCAGCACTCAGCCAGATAGACAGCCTGTCCCAAATTACAGAGAGGACTGAAAACTACAAGTTATCTGTATTGAACAAAAATTTTGAACTTATTCATAAAACACACAAAGAGGAGATCCCCAGCAATGAAAGAAATTTGGACAAAAGAGAACAGAAAACTCTATAGGCGGAAGGTCTGTTTTTCCTCTAAATTCTAAAAAATGCTCAGTTTTCTACAACAAGCATTTGCTCCAATCAAGTGCAGACAAGTGAAGTTCCTTATTCTTGCCACCATCCATGGCATGATTTTGAGAATGAAGTCCTTGACTGAAAACTTTGTATGCCCTGATTGGTCCATACATGCCCTTGTTATCCTGGAAAAGGGAAATACTTTATGTATTCCCCTTTCCCACTGCCTAGATTAATTCAATCTGGTATACTAGTAATAGTAAATGGAATCCATTAGCATCTCCTGCTAAAAGGTGCTATTCAGGAAATGTGATGGATGGGGAAGTGACCTTTCCCACTTTCCTGATCTATATCCCATTAAAGTAATCTCTCCTGAGATGAAAGATATTTCACAATATCTTTCTCTTGAATGGACACCTTTTCTTGTTACTAAGTGGCCTCCTATACTTCTATTGAAATTGCCCCAATTGGATGATTGCCACACTTTCTGAGTGCTGTGCATTTCCTTGATATTTCCTGGAATGTCATGTTTCCCCTATTGCAGAATCTATTTAAATGGAGACTTTCCATTTAAATAGCTCAGAGTGTGTTTTGGGTTTGTGAGGGCAAGAAGATAGGCTTATCATTTCTGGTTTAATATTCAACTACAAAATATATCTCTCCCTGTGTATGTGTTTACACTTGTAACAGTGTTTGTAAATAAAAGGTTTTATTCAAACACTTGACTCACAATTCCTTGTAAAAAAAAAGGATAACACCCTGCTTTCCCCTTGGCCTGATTTCCATTTTCCTTGGTTTCAAATTCCCCCTCCAATGCTCTCAACTTATGTCAACCAGATTTTTCCTGCCCTTTTGCTGAACCTTAGTTTCGACTGCACCATGCAGTTATGCAATGCACTATCTTAGTAATGAGGCCACATCCTGGTCTGACCAGTCTTGCCCAACCTTGGACCACAAAATCTACAAAGTCACCTGCTGTTCTATGTTCAAGCTCTTATTGCTCTCTGTTCCCTACTGTTGGAATGGACTTTGACTTTATGCTGCTGTCATTAATATTGTAGAGTACAAGAAATACACTTGCATTCTTGTATAGAAATGTGATGATAGTCCTCATTGCACCAACCTGGAAATAAGAATAAGACATATCCTCATCAAACAAAGTTGTCAGACCGAAATAAAAAAAAAAAAACAATACGATGGTACATTATTAAATACAGTAACTCAAGAAATGTCTCGAATTAGTTACATTTCTGAAGATTTAATTCAAGTCTGGTATAAGGGTATGCTGGGAATTTGAGAGTGATTTAATTTTTCCAATATTTTTGCTTTTGTTGTTGCATGATGAAATTTGCAACGCATCCTCATCCTTACACGCAGAACTGTGCTGACCTTTTACAATTCCTTGATTGCGCCGCCCAACGACCCATACATCAAAATAGATGGCGCTGTGGTGACAGCCGGAGTGCAAGCCAGTGCCGCCCCCGAGGACAAACAAGTCCGTTTCGTGCCTTCCAGCAACATCACCGCCTTCCCGGGACGAAAGCCCTCCTCATACGACATCAATACGAGCTTGAAAAATGCCATGACGTTGCTTCAAGTCGCGGAGCCCTTCATACTGGGCACCGCCACTCAGTTCATTCGGGTCGCCACTGATAGAGGGCCGAGTCTGGCCGCCATCAGTGCATCTGACCTCATGGTTTTCGGCTTCCCTCGAAGTGAGTCGTTGAAATGGTGTCAAAGTCGGACTTATATACGGAGGAGGACCTCTCGGAATAAATTAGAAGTTAGAATGAATTGAAAGAAAAGTGTAGAAATTTTTCCAGAAAAATCGATCACGGCTCTTTCCAATTTTGAATTTCTACAAAATTTCAATTTCTCCATCATATAAAAGTAATTTCTGAAGCGTGGCAGCTGCAACAACTATTCAAAATGTACAGTGAGACCCACACATGTGGACATCTTGACATGGGGACAATTTAACGCAGGGACATTTATTTTTCAATAAAAAATCATAAAAAAGGCCCAACATATGGAAACTGACTCAACATGAGGACATTGCGTGATAAAATTGACAAAATCTTTTGAGAAAATTGACTTTTATCAGGCTTGATTGCAAGAGACAGATCTTTCAAGCCCTAAGATGTATGCAAGAAACTCATCCCATCACTTTCCCATCCATTTAGTTAATTTTTATATTTAAAAAATATTACCTATAGCGCACAGAGGAAATTCCTTCTGTGTTTGAGACTTGATGTAATTTTTACAGTGGTATACTATTCAATGCTAGAATTGTTCTTATTGGTTTGAAAAGATATTCACTGAACTAAATTTGAGCGGCAAAAAAATTTTTTTTTCATAATTCTGAATGATATTTTGTCCATAGAACACCAATTAAAAATTATATTATATAAGTCTATGGGAAAACAAGACTCAACTTAGGGACACTCATGAGGCACTAATTAAGTCCACATCTGGGGGTCTCACTGTACAGAGAATGATGAAATCAAAAAACATTGGTTTGGGCAGCAGATGCCAAACCCTAACTTAGTTTACAAACTTTGGACTGTTCATCTGTGCATAGGGTGAACCTTTTTTTGCAAAAGGCCATGATACCCTGCACAAATTGATTTACCTTGATTTTACTGTATAGGATATCATTGTGTTCTCATATTCATGCCTTCATTCGCAGTCGTTCCGGGATCCCCAGCAAAATTCGATGGGACAGTCTTGGGAATGGAGTGCCCACTCACTTCACCAGGGTTCTTTTATGGTGCAGACCTGGACACCAACGCCACTTCCTGTGTGGTAATTTCTCCCAGGACAGGCTCAACTTGCAATCCAGTAAGGGAAACGCTCTAAAATGGTTTAATGAAATGTATTGTACACCAGGTTATCATTGACCTTAATATGTATGTAGATTATGTACAGTATAAGGCCTTGCCTATATAATGAACACAATCTGTCCCAGGGTTGGTTTGTAAGAAGTTGTTCGCCATCAGTCTACAGAAAATCTTCAGCATAATATCTTTTTCATAAGTAGCAAAATGAAGTATTTTTAGCAAACATTTACGAAAGACAGTGGCAGTTGAAATTACTGGATGAAAAATAAAACTTGCCTTTTTCCTAATGAACCTTGGAACAAATTTTCATCTGGGGGAATCAATTACAGTACTTCCATTTCTCATTCTAAGAAATGTTTTTTTTTTCAAGTCAATCGTTCCATTTTTACAGATATTCCACTAGAGCGGCTTCATTGATTCTCAACTCATTTTTTTTCAACCCGCAGAAACATATTAGATACCTGACTTCAAAACAGAACTGTTCTGGGTCTGCAAAAATTTTTATGAGATTTTTCCAGTCTGCAGAAAATTCTTTGGACATTTGCCCTTCTTTTGACCTGAAAAGATTGGGGAACACTGTGCTAGGCAGCATTATTATAGGGGGAGTCCCTTTTTTCCTCAATGCCAAGTCCATAAAATTGGTTCTTGTCAGTGAAATTTACTAATACCTGATAAAGAATTGCCCAAACTTCTACAAAAAATGAAGTTTCTTCCAATTGTTTTTCCTGATTTGTATAACCTTGATGCTCTGTAGTGTAAATAACAAATAGAAAATTCAAGCTTTGTACTCCTCCCATATGCAAATCTATGAGCAAATATCGTTGATGAAGCACCAGGAAAAAAAAAAAAAACTCAGGATCTAAAGTCCTATGAGGAGGAAAGCAATTAAGCAGCTAACAAGCTAAGTTAGGGTTCAAGTTAAGCTTTGCTAGTGATGCACACAAGTGCGCTGGTGCACCAAGGATGGCATGCCCCTCTTTTGGCTAATAAATCCCCCTGCTAATCACTGGCCCCTATTCTGGTCATAGTCCCTGTTGGTTGACCCTTTCAACCCATGGTCCCCAACTTTTGGTGGGCAATTTTCTTGCAATTGTATGGAATGAAAATAAAAAAAATGGATAGGAGTATATTGTTTTTAAAACTTTGAACAATTTTCAAATTACATCATTTCTTGATTCTGTTATCAAGAAAATGGAAAAAATTGATACCAAACAATATATGGCCATCATGCTAGTGGATGAAAATTTTCCAAAACCTTTTTAGCTTCAGTCCCTCATACAAGTGTGCCTTAGACCTGATTTTGCTCTCAGATATATTCCTCCCACCCAAATGTGAGCAGAAGTAGCAGCCACAGCCCCTCAAACAAATGCCTGGAATATAAAAATATATTCCATACCTGTTGTGCCTAGAATGGTGGCTACAAACAATTGTAAGCTAAGGTCATGAGACTCCAAATTTTAGAGGTGGGTATCCTCAGTTAGGTCACTGAGTGGGTGCCTGAGTATGATGGATAATTGGGGAAGTGGTCAGGTCAAGTATAGTTCAGACCAGAGGACCAGGGACATCCGTTACAAGATGGTATGGGCAAGACCCAAATAAAGTTGCTGCTCACTTTCTGTAGAAACTGACTAGTGTGGAGAATACAAAAAACTCTCAAGAATTTGCTATCCACAAGTTAATTCACACCACAGAAGTGAATTTTACAGTTTCCAACAGAAAATAAGCTCAAGAGCTTTTTTCAAGATGTTAATCAAGTGCATGTGCAAACATGTTAATGGTTTGCCTGTAATACAAATGACAAAGACATGGTCAAAATGTAAACATAACAGCCAAAATATACATCAGAATACATTCCCCATAATTTTGGGAGCAACTCAAAACCACCCTTATTCCCAATATACAGAACTCAGAGATGATTTGTCCTAAACCAGGGGGAAATCCTGAGTCAAGGAAAAGGGGGTGGAACATTTCCACCATGGACACTAAACCAGATCCCCTTGAAAGCTTTCAAAACAAAAGGGGGAAAACAAGCTAAAGTGTCAGCAGCTACATGGGGACCCTTCCCTTCTCAATTTTTTTTAATGACAGGAAGTCAAGGCTAAGATTGCTGACTCAAAGGTGCCAGCCTTGCCAACATGCCATTACCATTGCTAACCAACAAAACCTAAATGCTTGCAGTGGGAAAGTCCCAACTCACCACATAAATTAGGCCAGCAAATTAAACAGTGGTGAGGAATCTCCCTCAGAACAATTCAGGATTAACACCTCTCTTTAACACAACAGAGTATATCATGTTGTGCCCAAGGAATTTTTGACATTCACAGCATGTTGCAATGTCAAAACAAGAGTCCTTTTTGCAATGTTGAAAAAAGAATCGAAGTTGTGATGTTGAAATGAGAATCCTTGTTGCAATATCAAAACAAGAATCCTTGTTTCAATGTTGAAATGAGAATCCTTGTAACCACACCAACAGCACCACACTGGTGGTGCCACACAAGCAGCACCAGGCCGGCAATGCTGCTCTATTTTCTTAATCCAGCTTCAACACATAACTTTGTGTGGAGGACTAACCATAAAAATGCCTTTGAAAAATTTCAAAACATTATCCAAATCGCACTTGCCCTATGAGAGCTGTTTTCCACATCATTTTTATGGTCAGTACATTCAAAGATAATTTTAAAAATCAGATCTTTTTACAGAAACTCTGTGGCAGGATTTGCAGCACATAACTGTCAGTTGTTTTCAAGAGTATCTTGTACTGGTATAATGCTTCTTCCTTGGCTCATGTCATCAGGAACACAATTTTCAAGTTTCATGAACTGGAAAATCTGTTCAAAAATGTTGCAGAGTATTCCAGGATTTTCCTTTGCAAAGGAAAACAAGAATTGGTCCACTTTTTCAAGTTAATACAGATACATTTATTGTTTGGTTTTGATTTGTTTGGTTTTCTCAATAGAACTAGGAAATAATGTGATTCAAATTTTTTTTTAGTTCAAAAAACATTATATTAATTTCAATTTTGTTTTTCATTCCATACAATTGGAAGAAGCAGGCCCACCAAAAGTGGACGCCATTGGGTTTAAAATGGTAAAAAAAAGCAAGGAAAATGACATGTATGAATAGGGTCTGATGGTTATGGGGACTTAGTAGCCACCAGGAGTGTTATGACATCATCCAGAGCAAGTGGGTTTGGGAGAAGAAAAGAAAGATCATCATCTGGTACAAGGCGGAAATCCGGGCTATATATATTTTCACAGTGCTGGTGAAATTTGCCACAGTTGAACTTGCCATGCTTCAGCTTGTCACACCCCAACTTTTCACTGCTGCAACTGACCTCAGCCTGAAGTGACTGCAGTCACAAGTTGCCACTGCTACAAGTTGCCACAATCATTTCTCACTGCAGTCACAACTTGCAGTAGTTACAAGTTGCCACTCTTTCAACTTGCTTTACTTGATGATTAATTCAGACAGTTCTAGAGCCCTTTGAAACTTAATTCAGAGCAGAACATGTTTGCAATTGAAAAAAAGTAAAATACAATAATATGAAAAACCTTGCCATCAAAAATTAAATGCACATCATTTAGCCACCAATAGCTCTAGTTCAAGATGAATGAATTCACTGTAACCCTCTCTATATACTCTGAAACTTTTCAAACAGCAGAATGCTTAGTTAATAAGTGGGAGAATGTGGGAATTCCTTTTTTCCTGAAATTTTAGTCAATGCAATGGCAAGTGGCTGCAATTCATGCATCAAGTTGTGATAGCAGCAAGTCAATACAGCAGTGATTTGTTTCAGCAGCAACTTCCACCTGTGGCAACATACAGTCAACCCCCGGTTAACGAACTTAATTCATTCCAGGAACTAGTTCAGTAACCGGGGGGTTTGTTAACCGAAATGAGATCCGCCATAGACTTACATGTTGAAAATTTTAATTTGTTCCAAATTTTCAAAAATATTTCCTGATTACTAAACTTTGGAAATTGGTCATAAATTGAATTCTGATCCAATTTTCAAATACTTTTTGGCATTGCATGCGCGAAGATGTCGTCTAAATTTCCCTATTTTTAATTATGCCAAAATCTGAAAATGTGACAGAATTACAATCCAAAATGTAAAAACATTTTTGAAAATTGTACAAAAATCACCAAAACATGTTTTTACTTTTTGAATTTAAGCTGTTTTAATTTGCAACATTTTGCAATGAAAAAAAGTAAACCATCAATGTGCATGACAACCTGTAAATATTTTTTAACTTTCATCAAAAGCAAATAAATTAGAATGAGCTAAACTAAAAAGTTTGAATTGTTGTTTTCATTTTTCTTCCAATTTTTTCATATTTTAAACTTTGCCAAAAAGTAATTATGAACTGAAATACAAATTTTTAACTGCATTAGAAGCACCATGAAGTTCCCTACATTTACCATTTTTAAAGCTTAAAAATAATTTAAATTGACAATAAGGTGGAAAGGAGAATGTGTAAAACCTTTTCTAAATTCATTCTCACAAAATTATTTTTTCTTTCAAATCACAAAATTTATGCAAAATTTCCTTCTTCACCAAACTTCAAATTTTCAAAGAGATTAGAGGAAAAGATATTTTTCTGAATTTTCATGTTTTTTGTTGAAAAATCTAGCAAATTAAAAAATGTATGAGAAACAAACAAGCACTTCAAATTTTTTCTCCAATAACTGTGCCTCATTGTTTATTTTATTGACAAAGCTTAAAATGCAGGTGTTCTACAAATGCAGAAAGTCAAAGTTTTTTTTAATCTTCCAAGTTTCTTTAAGAAAAAAGGAACATTTCATAAAACACCCCCTTTCAAAAATTCCCACTTCTTAAAAAAGGGGAAACAAACCCCATTTAAAAATGGGGAGAATTTCTCCTGTTTCCCAAAGAAAGAAAAGAGAAGGAAATTAAAAAGCACATTTTTGTAAAAAAAAAAGGTGGGGGAATTTATTTTCTTGGTTGAAAATTAAAAAACACTTACATTCTGAAACTGCACAACCCCTGAACTTTATGCACCCTCAATACATTAAACAATGAAGCAGTTCTTAGTCATTCAATTACAAAATTTAAAAAATTCCAGCTTTTTACTGTAAATTCTTCAATTATGCACATTTTTCAACACAAAACTTGAAAATTCAAAAAAAATTCTGCAACTCCAATCCCTTTGACAACTCAAAGTTTGGTGGAGCAGGAAATTTCCCATTTTAAAATATTTAATGAGGTGGTATGTGCAGAGATTTGAAACTGTTTCATGCTCAAAGAATTATAGCTCATAGAATTATAAGCAAGAAAGTAGAATTTGTTACGATTTTGCAATTGAGAGACTAATCAGTCTTCTTCATTGTTTCATGTATTGACAGTGCATGAAGTGCTCAGTCATTATCAGAAGAAGCACAGTTAAAAGAGCACATTGTTAAAAGAACCACAATTATAAGAGAAACAAAAAAAATCAAAGTTCTAGTTTGTTTCTTATACATTTTTTAATTTGCTAGATTTAAAAAAAATATATAAAAATTCAGAAAAATATCTTTGCCTCTAACCCCTTTGAAAATTTTAAGTTTGGTGAGAAAGGAAATTTTTTATAAATTTTCAGATTTGAACGAAAATATTTTTAAAGAATGGATTTAGAAAAGGTTTTATACATTTGCCTTTTCAACTGTCAATTTGAATTTTTTAAGGTTTGAAAAATGGAAAATGTAGAGAACTTCATGATGCTTTTTATGCAGTTGAAATTTGTATTTCCTTACATAATTAATTTTTTGGCAAATTTTAAAATATGAAAATTGGGGAGAAAAATGTAAACAAGAATTTAAACTTTTTAGTTTAGCTCATTCTAATTTTTTTGCTTTTGATGAAAGTTGAAAAATATTTACAGGTTGTCATGCACACTGATGTTTTACAATTTTACTCTTTTTTTCATTGAAAAATGTTGCAAATTAAAACAGCTAAAATTCAAAAAGTAAAAAAAAAAATTTGATGATTTTTGTGCGATTTTCAAAAATGTTTTACCATTTTTGATTGTAATTCTGTCAAATTTTTATATTTTGGCATTTAAAAAATTGGGAATGTAGAAAAAATCTTTGCGCATGAAACGCTGCAAAAATTTGAAAATTGATTGACAATTGATTTTTAAGAATTTTTCAAAGTCAGAAGAACGGACTGCGGTTTGTTAACCGAATGACGGTCCGTTAACCAAACCACTCCATGAAAAATGGGCCAGATTTTTGGCGGTTTGTTAACCAAAAATCCGTTAACCGGACAGTTTGTTAACCGGGGGTTGACTGTATATATAGAGCAGTGCATCGGTATATACAAAGAAATGGCACACTATATACAGAGTCATTTATCAAAGCCTGGAGTCTGGCAGCTTTCCATCCCTGATGAGGACCTGAAGTCTGCATCTTATTGCATCCTGCACATGTCCAAGCAGCAAGATTTTTGAATATGTGTGGACTGCATTTGGATGCGCATCTAAATGTTCAGTTAAAAATCATTTTGAACATTCTTCAAACCACTCATTTTCAACATTATTGCAGTGTTCTATGAACTTTGAAGTTTGACAAACTCTTGTTTTCATTTTGTAGAAAATAATTGAGGGATTGAAAACAAACTGAAAAAAACTTTTGAAGATTATTTTCAACTTATTTCTTGAAATTTCCTCAATATCATTCATTTGAAAAATGAAAGGCTGGAAGTAGATGTTTTAAATGATTCTCCATTTCCAGTTCACCTGAAAATAAATACAAAGCCTGGATTGCTGTGATTTTTGCAGGGTTTTAACCCGTGATTCTGCTTTACAAGAGTTTACAGAACTAGGTTTTTTCCACCATTCCTCCTCATGCTGAGACTATGCACAAGGGTTGGTTCATAAGTTTTGAAAAAAAAGATTCAACCAAGTTTCAACAATTCCAAATTTTTATTTTATCCGCATAGCTATATCATTTGGCAACACTTCAGTGCTGTTCAACTCAGTCTGTTCTGACGTCAAAGCATTTTTTCATGCAATAAACTTGGTGATCACAACAGTGCCAAAAATTGATTATTGTACTTAGTTGATCAAGCTATCCTTTGATGACAGAAATTAACCTCCTCAAAATCAATGCTTTTTGGATAATTCTTCCCTGTCAGGAACAGACTGAAGTCAGAGGGTGCATTACAGTTCTTGGAAAAAAATGCAAAAACAAAAATTTTGAAAACATTAAATAAAAATGAAGATCCTTTGACTTCTGGCTGTTGCCAGTCATGAATGATGTGATTGATTTCGAGGACCGTGACAGCATCATTTCTGTCTTCAAGGAGTAACTTCATCAATTAATGCAATAATCAATTTTAGCACTATTTTGATCATTGAGTTTATTGCATAAAAAATACATTGATGTCTGCAGAGACTGCTTTGAACAGCGCTCAAGTTTTGCCAAATTATGGGGCTATGAAGAAGAACAAAATATGAAAATATATAATCAAGAAATTTAAAAATTATTTGCACTTAGACTGATCATGAAAGTATTGCTGTGACATGGCGCAAAAAATCTTAATTTTTTTTTTGAAAGGGAACTCAATTTCAGTTAAAATACAAGGTTTTTCAACATCATCCTGGGGGCATGTCATTTGAAGACTTGGAGCCAAGATTCAAAAATTACGTCCTGCTGGCTGTAGTTTCTCGAAAGCGCTATATCCATTCAAGAAGTGGGGTTTCAGTACATGGGCCGCGCTTGTGTGATTCAGTCTCTCTCCTCCGTAGGCAAGTCATCAAAACTGGTCCATCAGAAATTCCATTCCATCGTTGTTCTGAGATACTTCCGGGCATACGTCCACGGTCATCTACAATCTTCTGCTGCTTGAGGACCTCTTTCCCTTCAAAGCGGGGGAATGCAGTACAGGTACGTTGGGTACACGTTTTACGAGGTGGATTTATGTTTCAAATAAGATGAATAAAGAAAATGTGTGAACTGAAACGAGACACCTCAAAACTGTAAACATGCTCTCACTGTCGGAAAATTCCTGGCAATTGTCTCTCAAAGCTTGCGTTTGCTGACCAGCTTCAGGTTCCAGGACACGGATTTTGTTCAACTCGTCGAAATACAAGCCAGACCGCGCCAAAGCTTCGTCCGCCATGCTGAACACAGGAACTGATCAGATACCTGAGGAGTGAGTTAATACCGAAAGAAAAACAGCCACTTTCGCTCCTGAAACAATGAGCAGAAAAATGAGGGTCCCAGAAAAAAATAGCTGGTGGCACGGAAATCACGCCGGTAGGAAAATTCCGCAGGGTTCAAAACTCCGTAAGGTAGTCCAAACAATAACATACGCCCCCAAATCATGAGAAGTTAACAAACTGGAACCTTTCAGTGTTGCGTTTTTTTCGTTTTTTTTTTTCGGGAAAATCTTGCTGGTCTGCATGTGCCTATACGACTGGCGCACCTGCGCTGAACACTGAAGAAAGTATGGAAAAATCCCTTCACTTTCGAAGGATCTGTACTCTCAAATTTTTTTTTTACTTGACACCGTATAATTTCGGTAATTATTGCTCATATTGTTCGTGTGAATACAAGAATCTATGCGAATGGGTACACATGCAACTCAAGATTTCCGTACCTGCACTGGACTACGAAATCAACTCCCACGAGATTTTCGAGACACGAACTTTTGTTATCCTGCGGACTTTGTTCCCGGCATCCAGAATCAGAATCAAACATGAATACAGCAGATGATCCGCGTAACAATAAAAACATCGGCTTCATACTTCCACCCTCTTGAAACGAGCAGCGTCGACTATGAAAGACGAAGACAACACCAACCAGAATACTCACGGAAGATCAAATGAAAAAAAAAAAAACATAGAAAAAAAAAACTGATTTCGATAAAACCAAGCAATCCAATCAAACGCATCAACGTTTCCGTAAATGCCTGCACGAGAAATCAGGATTAACAAAGGTAACAAAATCATCCGACAACACTGGAGAGAAAGCGACATAATCGCAGATTCCCAGACGACCACCCCCAGGGATCGCAGGCATGTGTACCTGAATTCAAGAGGCGTCACATCCCACTCGATCTCCCCTTCAACACATCTGCTGTTCTGCTTTCGCCCCATCACTCCGCGATGGTTCACGAACCATATAGCGTTCGCCGCAACACATCTCAGTTCCTCCTCCTGAATGGCAGAGCTGACTCCACACGGAAGTGACCATTTAGAGCAGTCCCTCAATGCACAGATTCCTCCCAAGAATCGCGAACAATACCATGACGACCCTCAAACATGCCGATTTATCACCTACCGATTTCACCTGCCGATTTAGCAAAAAAAACGAAGAAAATTGTTTCGGGTTGTGGATTCGCGCGCGCTTCGATTGGTGAGCCAACGAACTGGAGCAGGAAAATGGTCAAGTCACGTTTCCCGACTACATCTTCTGTCCTCTTTTTTTCCCCCCTCGGGGAGTGGGAAAATATAGAAACACGGCAGGCCGAGAATTCCGGCTTCTCAACATTTCCGTAGAATGAGAAGTGCGTAAAAGGAACTGCGCCCATGATCATGTACAAGGCGGCAGGCTCTTCGCCTTCTCTACGGGCGCTGAAACCAAAACCAATAAACTTTCAACGAATTCTTCCCAGACGTGCCAAGGAAAGAGAATAAAGAAAAAAACTCTCCGGCAGGCCACGTCTTGACAGACGGATATTTGCAACAAGGCTGCACGCACCAACACAAGCAAGGAAGGATATCGGTCTTTGGCAATTGGAAACAAGTGCACGTGCTAATCATCCACCAGCACACGAAGGATGATGAACCGGGAAGGACATGACTAAGGAGTACAATGGAAATACAGTACTGAAAATGAATCACATAAAAAAAATGGGGTAGTGAACATGCCCAAAAGAAGATCGAGTCTGTCTTTTTCTTCTCAACCTGCACCCGTACTCCCCGCAGACGATGGCTGAAGACGCCTTCGATCAATTCGACACCGGCGAGGCAATGGCTGTGCAACTCCTGTGGGATACGACCTATAGTGTTTCCGACGACGATCACAAGCGCCTCCCGATCTCGGCAAGCAGGATGACGAACAATTGCAGGGTAACATGCATCGCATCAGGAGATTCAGGAACGCCTCTCCCTCACACTGATATTTCGTATTTCATGTCGTACACGGACCTGAGTGTGACCAACAAGCATTCGTGTCAAAGAAGCACAACTGTGTGACATGGAGAAAATGCCGCGTCGAGGAAGGACAAGTCGAAATACACCGTGTTGAATGATTCCACGGGAAGAAAGTTTCCTTCAGAGTAGGCCCAGTGGGTATTCCAACGCGTAAACGTGTTCCAAATCGAAGAGAATTTATTGAAAATTGAAATTGCTCCATGAGTAGGATTCCGTGCAGCTCAATACTGTCCGACGACCTGAGCTTCGCGCCGCAACGCAACAACGAATTACATCATCATCTCGTCAAACTGAAACGCACTAGCATGAGGAGGTAACCCTTGCGTCAACCGACATAGACTGAAGTACTGTACTGTACTGTACCGATTGTCAACAAATAGAAACAACGACCACTCAAAAACTGTGTGGCGTAAACCGCGTAATGCTGAAATTTTTCTGAAATCTTGAAAAAAAAAAAACGCGCTTCTCAACGTCACAGCGTTCCTTTCGTCATTGCGCAAGTCGCAATGATCATTTTTTCTTTGTTCTTCTTCCAGCTTCCATTTTCTACGCGACCAACTACGAGCAGCTCATCCACATGAAAAAAGTGACGCATGACTGAACTTACCTGCGATGTTTGCCACTGCCTTCGGCAGCCGAAGACGACTGATGGGCTTGCAAACTGTCGGCATCCAAAGCAGCAGCAGCAGCAGCATTGCCGTGATGCTGTTGTACTCGGGCTGCAGACAGGTCCAGGGAGTCGGACACGTGCATGGCCCGCGAAAACTGCTGCTGCTGTGACTGCGACGGCTGTTGGGGACCAGATACCGGACCCAACCGACTCAGCGCGTGCAGAGGAGACAACGAGGCGGCCACTCCGTCATGATGCAATTGATACTGATGTTGCTGCTGCACTCGGAACCCGACCGGATGACGGACAACTTGAGGAGATCCGGAGCCGGAAACAGTACTAGAGGAGCCCGCCCAGTAACCCTGGGGTTGCGGCGGGTACTGGTAAGCACGCTGCGCGGCATAATGGTCGCTATTGCCAGTCGTCGGCGACGTCGGGTGGGACCCGCAATTATTTATCGTACCTGACGCGAGGAATGGGCGACAAAAACACATTTTCGTTCATTAATTCATTCATGCAATGCAATTCATTGTATGTTTCGTTTGACGGGCTTCTCTTCTTTTTCCCAAAAAGTCGTCAAGTTTGGCGCACAGAAGGGATAAGCGTCATCCTTCACAGATCCGGATCGGTACAAAACAACAACAGCGAAACGACAGTGCGTGGAACCAAATTTACTTGTACGTTTCCGATTGGAAAAACGGAACAAAATAGGGATGTACTGTACAGTACTGCATAAACGTAGCGTGAATAGATAATGTTTCCGACAGGAAAAGACCTGGAAACCCACGCACCTCCAGCAAATAACCGGGGTTGATGAGGACTCGCAGCTTGGTGATGGTGGTAGCCCGTGGCGGGAGACGGATCCCGCCAAGTGTACATGCCACGCTGTGGACTGCCGGCCAGCTCAGGTAGGTGCTCGCTGCTCATCAGCTGTCCATCAGATGCAGTTTTCCGAGCCTGTTGCTGGAGCCGGTTTTGCTGTTGCTGCTGCTGAATGGAAATGTGGTCCGGGCGAAGGAGCTGTTGATGAGGCATTCCACTGCGTTCTGGGACGCCTCGGACAGAACCTGATCGATTCATCGCAGCTCCTGGGGCCCTGTAATTCAACGTACAAGTCATCACAGCACGTCTTCAAGTCATAACCAAAAACAACGCAGCAGAGTAACCTATTCGTGAGCATTTACTCCTTGTTCGATTTGCATTCCGGAGTTCGAGCGTGCCTCAGCATCACATTTATTATGCAAGAATCCATTTACATACACGCCTCTATTGAACCACTCGAAGAGTGGGATATTAACACAGGACCTCATACAAAAACGAAAATGGACCTGTTGTCATCAAACGAACCCACATCGTGATAAACTTTACAAACGGGGAGTAGCGGCAATCAATAAACCCAACCGTAAACAATCATAAAAAAAAGTAATCGTCTGTGAGCATACAATGCTCTCCTACTTTATTGCGAATTTTCAATTGAAACAGATTCAATTTCCCATTCCGCGAGATCGGATGAAGTAAGAAAGACTCCAGAAAAACTAATTCAAAAAACGTTTATCCTGTGTAATTCATCAAATCATGAGATGATTTGGACTCCACTTCAGAATGATCCCCGTTTTTTGTCTCCCAATAAAACTCGAACAAGACTACGGGATTCCGCCTGAGGTAAGAATTGTATGCAGAACATTTTCTTCTGAATATCCGTACACTACTGTAGTAAATGATCAGTCAAATGACAATATGGATTCCAAAAATGTTCACACATAGCATTATAAAATGTTATCCAAAGAAAAAGGTGGGAACAATCTGGCATCACCTGCATTTTCAAATGAATATTACGGTCTCGTTGAAAAATTGCACCATCTTGTAAAGATAGATTTCTGCCAGGTGCATCCATGGAGGGTGTCACAGAATTTTTGAATCTTATGACAAAAGAGACTGATATTGTGTTTTTGTAGAAGACATTTATGAAGGGCAAATAAAACACATCACTCGGCAGGGTAGCCTGCCTGTCCCCAATTACAAGGGACTGTAGGTTAAATTAAAAATTTATCCATAGTTTTAACTAAAAGAAGTGAGATCACAAAATAATGTATCACATCACAATATGATACAAATACAGTATCAGACAAATATTTGTAACCCAGACAGTTTCCCAATCATGATAATCACCCTTCAGAAGCTGAATGAGAAGTGCTGTGCTTCTAGCATAAATTTCCGTATTAATTGATATTCCCAATTGCCCGATTTTCTCTGAGCTCTGGTTGCGCGCTTTTCCTGATTTTCGTCCTTGACTTTCCCCAATCTGTGCGCCGATTGGTTCCTCAAACTTTTAGGCCTTAGAGGTGTTATCCTATTTAGCTTATTTTTAATTTAGAATAACTAAAGGATAAAACTATTGGGAACGTAAAAGAGTCTTTCCTCTTGGAGTTCTTTACTCCTTGATTCGCGGAGAGGCGAAGTGCTGGCGACGCGAGACTTTCGAAATAACAGACAGACTTTCTTGATAATACAAGTTTTATTCAGAATCAGACAACTCAAGCAATCCGAACAATGCGAACGGCAGGGATTCTAAACGGACTCTGACTCCTTAGAGGATTCGGTGATCAACTGATTTTAGCAGTCTGGAGCTAGGGTTTATATACTCCAAAAACTGCTGGTTCCAAGTTGGCCAAGAGTTTAAACATATGCAGGTCATTGCCTCTTTCGAAACAGTGTGTAGAAAGTACTGGACAGGACATGCATCAAGG